TCCTCTCATAATTTTTCGCCCCATTTCCTGCATTACATCAGCATGGAAGTGCTTAAGGTAAAGAGCAGATGGTGTGTATTGCTGTGAACAATGATTCCCAGAAGTTCTCCTTAATGTTCTTGAGTATTTCTAAGCACTAAATGGACACTTCCCCAGGGGCCCTTTTTTATTTTTTTTTGTTTTTGCATCATGAGCAGACTCATACCCCGGCGCCCGAGCAGCTGATTTTTTGTAGCCCGAAAAATGTTTAAAGCAGGGGTACAATCAAATACCGGGGGCGGGGGCCAGTGAGCCACTTAAGATTCATGCTAGGGCTGCAGGCAAGGGTATGAACTTCCACGTTACAACTTCCAAATATGAACAAGACTATGGACATTCACTGCGCAAGGTAAAAGAAGTGTCATATATGCGGCGTCACCTAGTTACAGACATCTAAAGTCTAGAGATATTGTCCCACAAGCGACATTATATCATTGCATCCAGTACTTTCTTTCCTGAAATAATTAGGGGCAGCAGCTAGTTTAAGATGCAAGAGAATGGCTGTAATATACTAAATCTTGCTTCCATAAACTACATAAAATAAAGGCACAAATACACTATATAGCGGGGGCAAGTAATAATGCAAAGCACCAATATATTCCCAGAATGCAAGTAAGCTGATATAGGGTTATATCTTTTATGTACTAAGAGTGTTCAGTCATGATAAAAAGTTGAAATAGGCCTAATTTTTGTTTGTTTTTTTTTTGAGAGCAGCGTCTCATTACTGTTCCCCCCAGGCCTGAAGTGCTGTAGTGTGACGCGTTAGCCTCCTGCACCTCCGCCTCACAGCGGTTCAGATGTGATTCTCATGTCTCACCGCTCCCGAGCGTGCTGGGAGTTGAAAGGCAATCTGCCGGGACGCGGAGCAGTGCTGATAATATCTGATTTTTTTTTTTGTTTTTTTTGAAACGGAGTCTCCTCTGCCGCCCAGGCGAGTACAGCGGCGGTGGTAATCCCTCGCTCACTGCAAGCTCCCGCCTCCTCCGGGTTCGCGCAGCAACCATTCTCCTGCCTCACTCTGAGTACCGGACAACAGCGCGCCCGCCCACGCCGGTGCGTGCCCAGCTAATATTTTGTATTTTTAGTAGAGACGGGGTTTCACCATGTTGGCCAGGCTGGTCTCAAACTCCTGACCTCAAGTGATCTGCCCACCTTGGCCTCCCAAAGTGCTGAGATTACAGGTGTGAGTCACCATGCCCAACCTAAATATTTCATTTTAAATTTGTTGTCTTTTAATCTGAAAAACCATTTGGGGATGACAAATTATTCACTGTTCATCTCAATGGTATATATTAATGAAAAATGGAAAAATTACAATGATTAACAATAGACAGGCCAGACACAGTGGTTCACACCTGTAATTCCAGGACTTTGGGAGGCTGAGTCCGAGGGAGGATTGCTTAAAGACCAGACTTCGAGACCAGGCTGGGCAACATAGGGAGATCTAGTCTCTATAAAAAATTTTAAATATCAGCCGAGCATGCTGGCACACACCTGTAGTCCCAGCTTCTTGGGAGGCTGAGGTGGGAGGATCACTTGCACCCAGGAGGTTGAGGCTGCAGTGAGCCATGGTCACTCCATTCTAGCCTGGGTGACAGAGTGAGACCCTAGGAAGGAAGGGAGGGACCGAGGGATGGAGGGGAGCGGAGGGCAGGAAGACAGACAGACAGAAAGACGGAAAGGGAAGGGGGAGGGGAGGGGAGGGGAGGGAAGGGAAGGGAAAAGGAAAAGGAAAGGAAGAAAGTGGGCACAGAAAAGCTTAGAATATCCATAATATGATACACCACAGGACCATTAAAAATGATGCTTTGGACAATCTTAACAATGTTAACAAAATTTAACATTCAAAGTTAGGGGCAAAGAAAACAACAGAACATATGGGGATTTTTGTTGTTGTTGTTTTGAGACAGAGTCTCACTCTGTCAGCCAGGCTAGCACGCAGTGGCATGATCTCGGCTCACTGCAACCTCTACCTCCTAGGTTCAAGCAATTCTCCTGCCTCAGCTTCCTGAGTAGCTGGGATTACAGGTATGTGCCAACATGCCCGGATGATTTTTGTATTTTTAATACAGACAGGGTTTTTACCATGTTGGCCAGGCTGGTCTCGAACTCCTGACTTCAAGTGATCCACCCACCTCAGCCTCCCAAAGTGCTGGAATTACAGGTGTGAGCCACCACACCTGGCCAACATAAGGTTTTATAAAAAGATTGAAGCTCCATTTTGTTTTATAAAATAGGTAGCACTTATTAAGCACTTAATATGTGCTAGGCATTGTTCTAAGCATTTTATATACATTATTTTATTTACTTTTACAAAAGCTCTCTCTATAAAAATAGGTAGTTACTACCCCCATTTTACATTGTAAAAGTGAGACTCTGAGAAGCTAATAACCTAGGGTCACAGAATCAGGACTAAACTTACATCCTTACATGTGACGTTCCCCGCCTGAGACAGGTATTATTATCCCCATCTTCACATGAGGAAACTGAGACTTAGAAAGGATAAATTATTCAGCCAGGGCCCGTTCCATACCCAATACTCAATTCTCTGTATCATTCTGCCTCCAATATATTGAACTGATAAAGACAAACATGGTAAACCAAAATAGATAAGTAGCTATGTCTCCTACAAGTCATATCTTAGGTCACTAGAAGAAAATATCATTTTGTCAACTTAATATTCTGTTTTTCTATAAAGACTGTGATTCAGCATTTAAATCACTGTTTCAAATATATTTTTGAGCATTTTTGTCCTAAACAATTACCAATGAAATAACAAATCACCAGAAAGACAACAAATTCCTTTTCTGGATTTTGTGGTATTGGTACTCTTACCTGACACTGGTTAATAGCTGCATGGTTGCCATGAAACGGAGACTGTCTTTCTTTATCTCGATGATGCCGACTGCTGTGTTTACTTCTCTGCAACTGCTGGCGTAATTTTGCAATCTGAGAAAGCAAAAATAGCAAGTACAACAGAGTGTTTTCCACACGAAATAAAAACACATCCTTGCTTAATAAGAACCAGTAAAACTCACCCTTAATAAGTCCTTTGAATTTTTGAAACATATCAGTCTCATTTTTTTGTTCATAATTTTATACATATATACAACACATGCATATATGTGTGTATGTTCCAACATTGTTCTCAGCCTTCAAGCTTCCCAAGCACTACACAAATAAAGTTTTCAGCACTTAGAATAAGTACATTACAGTTTTCACAAAGAATTAAAAAAATAACAATCATTCTCATTGCCTTTACCATAAGTTAACTTTTATTTTAATTTAGATTTCTTTATTGAACACCTAACTTTCAACAGCTCCAAAAATTACACAGTATTTAAAAATCAACTCAAGCCATAAAATATATTCACAGATATCATCTTTAACGAATGCAATTCCAATGAATATCTTATTTATTCTTTGACCGAATTTTTGCATTTCTACATTATGTGTGAAATGAAAATGTCACTAATTAGCAGCACAGAAAATGGTAATTGTAGCATGGAGCCATAATCATCATGGTTATAGGGAATACTCCATTTCAGAAACACCACCATATATAGAAAAATAATAAATGTGGCCAGGTGCAGTGATTCATGCCTGTAATCCCAGCACTTTGGGAGGCCAAGGCAGGCAGACTGCTTGAGGTCAGGAGTTAGAGACCAGCCTGGACAATATGATGAAACCCTGTCTCTACTGAAAATACAAAAATTAGCTGGCCATGGTGGCATATACCTGCAGTCCCAGTTACTTGGAAGGCTGAGGCACGAGAATTGCTTGAGCCCGGGAGGCAGAGCCTGCAGTGAGCCAAGGTTGCACCACTGCATTCCAGCCTGGGCAACAGAGGGAGACTCCATCTCACCCAAAAAAAAAAAAAAAAGAATAAATTCACATTTGTTGTATTGTTACAATGTTTAAATCTGATGTTAACAGACAAGGATGAACTCCCCTAAAAAAAAGACAAAAATACAAATCAGGTGATATATAAATCTCCCTACTCAAATCTTTATTAAATCAACACAATAATTGTTTTCCTGTTATTTCACAAGCCAAAAAGAAAAAATACATCAATGGAAAATTACAAAGACTTGCTGCCCATAATATCAAGGAAATAGCCAACAGAAGGATCATATTTCCACACCCACTATCTTAGAACCATTTTTCTGACCTCCTTAAGTTGATCTGTACTGCCCCAAGATGCTGAGCGCTTATGAGATCCTTTCTTCTTTTCAGAGTATTCTTCAGCCCATGCACTCTCTGTCTGTAATGAAAAAACAGGGGAGGTATATTTTAACAAAAATAATTTCACAACAATCTTTACCATATTTTTTCTATTATAAAACATATTTCCATTACAGAAAAATTAGACATTAAAAATAATTAACACAAATTACTCAAAATTCTCCTAGCACCAGTTACTTAACTGGTATTAATTACAATGAATATTTTGGCACACTTCATTTTTATTGCTAATAAAAAATTAGTATTTTTAAATAATTATAATTATACTCCAAATAAAGCATTTATGGAACAAAGTTAACTATGTAGAGTAACTAGAGTTACTACAGTCAACTAACATATAATAGCTAATAATGTTAGTTATTATTAGCATGCATCAGGCATACTAATAATAGCTAACATTCTTGTGCTCTTAATGTGCTAGGCACTGTGCTTTCATATGCTTTATCTGACTTAACACATGTAAGTTGCCTAAGGTGTTACAGCTAGGAAGTGGCAAACCCAAGAAATAAACCTAAGACTCCAGAGCTCATAATATTAACTTCTATATTATGTCTAGTCTTGCCATAAGTATCTGCAGAGAATAGCTTCAAAAATGTTAAACCTGGCTGGGCGCGGTAGCTTATGCCTGTAATCCCAGCACTTCAGGACGCCAAGGCAGGCAGGTCACGAGGTCAGGAGTTCGAAAACAGCCTGCCCAACATGGTGAAACCTCATCTCTACTAAAAATACAAAAATTAGCCAGGCGTGGTAGCGTGCACCTGTAATCCCAGCTACTCAGGAGACTGAGGCAGGAGAATCGCTTGAACTCGGGAGGTGGAGATTGCAGTGAGCCGAGATCATGCCACTGCACTCCAGCCTGGATGACAGAGGGAGGCTCCGTCTTAAAAAAAAAAAAAAAAAAAAAGTTAAACCTTAAGTACTTATACCAAACCTAGAATTTAAAGAGTGTACTAGGAAAGAAAATACAAATGAGTTCCTAGCACATGAAACTATGTTCAACCTCACTGATAAGAAGGGAAACAAAAGTTAAAGCTTCAACAAGATTGAGCAATTTGCTAATATAAACTTTCCTATATTGTTAGTGGGAGCGTACAGCCTTTATGGGGGCATATTCAGCACCTGCTGTCAAAGTTATAAATGCACAAACTGACACAGCAATCCCTTATTTAACAATTTATCCTGCACAGATACCAAATGCACATCTTTATGTACAAAATGACTTGCCTATTATCCCTGTAGCACTGTTATTACAAGTAAGACTGAAACAATGTAAATAAGTTAGATTTATTTAGGCCTGGCTAAATAAATTATGGTATACCTTTATAACAGAGTACTGTGCAGCTATAAAAAATGAATAAGGAAATTCACAATATACAGACATGAAATAATCTCCATCATATACTGTTAAGTGAAAAACCTCAAGGCTCAGTACCGTGTGTATAGCAACTGCCTTTATATGGGACTGTTAAAAAGAATATATGTGTATGTAAATTATATCTGGAAGAAAATACATGGTAACAAAGAAAACTGGTACCAGTCGCTGTCTCTGGGGAAAAAGACCCTTAGTGTATACCCTGCTATACCTTTTGAATTTTGCACTACATGAAATAATAAAAAATATCAAAAAATACCGTGCAGTTTGAATATTCTTTGCACTATTAACGTACCAATTACTAATTATAAAATGGTCTAGTTTCAAATGGGGAAGGAAAAGTTTTCAAAAATGAAGAAACTGCAATTCTAATTAGTCATGTTCCAGGTCTGGATCTTCTCCTTATAGCTAAAAGGACTCCATTCTGACAAGGATCCTTAAATACACTGAATCAAAAGGAGGGGCTACAATTTGGTCAACTTCCCACCACTCTATGCCCTATTTCACCTAAACTCCAGTTTCACTTTGAGGTTACCAACTGATGTCATAATCCCAGAGGTGACCCCTACTGTACTTATAATTTCTCATATTAGGGTCCACAGGCTCTTTAAGTCCATTGTTAAAATACCTGTCACAAAGATCAACATGTAAATAGGACCATATAGCATAAAGTATCAAAATCAAAAACCAAAATCAAAATAATAAACTTAATACTATAAAATTTAAAATCTTAACAAATGAATTATTATTATTATTATTTTTTTAACTTTTAGGTTCAAGGGTACATGTACTGGTTTGTTACATAGGTAAACAGGTAAACTCGTGTCATGGGGGTTTGTTGTACAGATTATTTTGTCACCCAGGTACTAAGCCTAGTACTCATTAGCTATTTTCCCTGATCCTCTCCCTCCTCCCACCCTCCACCCTTTAGAAGGCCCCAAAATCTGCTCTTCCCCTCTATGTGTCCATGTGTTCTCATCATTTAGCTCCCATTTATAAGTGAGAACATGCAGTAGTTGGTTTTCTGTTCCTGTGTTAGTTTGCTAAGGATAATGGCCTCTAGCTCCATCCATGTTCCTGCAAAGGACATGATCTTGTTTACTTTTATGGCTGCATAGTAGTCCATGGTGTATATGTACCACATTTTCCTTATCCAGGCTACTGTTGGTGGGCATTTAGGTTGATTCCATGTCTTTACTATTGTGAATAAGCAGCATAGTATGAGTGGTTCAGAATCACATATGTTGGTGTTAAACAAACATGTTTAGGTTTCAAATCAGTTAAATAACATTTTTTGGGCCAGGCACAGTGGCTTATGCCTGTAATCCCAGCACTTTGGGAGGCCGAGGTGGGTGTATCACGAGGTCAGGAGTTTCAGACAGCCTGGCCAACATAGTGAAACCCCGTTTCTACTAAAAATACAAAAAATTAGCCAGGCGTAGTGGCAGCCACCCGTAATCCCAGCTGCTTGGGAGGCTGAGGCAGGAGAATCGCTTGAACTCAGGAGGTGGAGGTTGCAGTGAGTCGAGATCTCGACACTGCACTCTAGCCCGGGCAATGGTGCGAGGCTCTATCTCAAAAAAAAAAAAAAAAAAGTATCTTAAGCAAGATGCTTCTCCTATATGAATTTTTAAATTCCTCATTTATAAGAATAATGTAAGGCCAGGCACAGTGGCTCATGCTTATGCATGGCTAATCCCAGTGCTTTGAGACGCCAAGGCTTCAGGATCACTTGAGCCCAGGAATTCAAGACCAGCCTGGGTAACATAGGGAGACCTCGTCTCTAAAAAAAAATGCAAAAAATTAGCTGGGCATCATGGCTCACGACTGTTGTCCCAGCTACTTGAAAGGCTGAGGTGGGAGGATTGCTTGAGCCTGGGAGGTTGAGGTCGCAGTGAGCTGTGCTTGCTCCACTGCACTTCAGCCTGGGTGTCAGAGCGAGACCCTGTCTCAAAAAAAAGGAATAATGTCATCTACCTACTAAAATTATAACGTAATTAAAAGAGTTAGTATGTGTAAAGGGTTTAATTTTTAAGCACAGTGCCAAGAACAAAACATTCACTCAGTAAATGTTCATTATTATTTTCATTCCATTAGGCCAAGAAGTTGTAACTTATTTTGTGATCTCTATGGTCATAAAGACAGATGAAAGAATGCAAATAATTTTTGATGAAAAAAATGGCCATAATAATTTCAAGTAAAACAGAGGGTAGAAATAGAATAAGTTTTATGAAAAGAGTTTTTTGCAAATTCTAACCAAATATAAATGATAACTCATCTCTTTCATACATTTTATATTACTATTTATATGAAAACTTCAGGCTAAAATCATGACGAAGAGTTACTTTATAAATACAATTCCAAATTCAAAAATTGTTTAAATTTTTATCCCTGCATTTCAAATGGTAGTTTAGTATTAAATTCAGACCTTATTAGAGGTTCTCAAATACAGTTTGAAAAAAAAGTTGGTTTATACCTCTCCCTACGTAAGAGGGGAGGAACCCTTACAGATAAGAGGGAATCCTTCTATTTAGGAAATCTCCTTAATATATTAAGTGAAATACAAGGTTGCAGAAAAATGCATAGAATATGATACCTTGTGTGTAACCAAAAAAAATCAGTTTTTCTTGTTCATTTGTGATTGTATGTGTGGTTGTGGGCTTGGGCACATGCAACCTTCAAGAAAATAACTGATTTAGACAAGGATCATCAGTGGAAGCAAAAACTATTAGGTAAAAGCTATTGAAGAACAGGATATTTATGTGGTGCCAAAACTCACAAATTACTTGCTAATTACAAAACCAAAAAGTTCATTTTCTTTCTAAAGTGAAGAATAATTAATTTAAAAACTTAATGTAATTAAGAAAACAAGTGCGAGAATGACCTGTTCTAAATTAAGGAAGACTTAAGAGAAACCAAGTGCAACATATGAATGTCGAATTGGGTCCTTCTGGGTCCAAGTGTGATGTATAAACGTTGAATTGGGTCATTAAAAAAAAAAAGACACATTGGGGAAATTTTAACATAAACTGGTTATTACATGATATTATGGAATTGTTAATTTTTTTAGGTGACCTAATGCTACTATGGTTATATAGAAAATATTCTTAGGAGTTACTTATTGAAATATTTAGGGATAAAAACATAGTATCTCCAACATACTTTCAAAAATTGCAGCAAACACACACATACATACAAGATAGGTAAAGCAAATATGACTAATATTTAAAACTCTTGAATCACAGCTGTAGTATTCTTCTGATTTTTTTTTGTACATATAACATTTTCATAATGAAAAGGAGAAAAATCTTAAGTCATTTCCAGTAATATTTTATGAACTCCATTTAGGACAATTCCATAAAGAAATACCTCCATTAGAAAGTATTAGACAACAAATCAATACAGAAGAATGAGAGAGCTACAAAGTCATCATTTTGGAACTATTATAGTAATAACTGACTTAAGTAATAATCATCAACAAATGCTAAAACCAATGAGTGTTTCTTGGAGAAAAGAATATTTACAATCTCAACTATTTCTCCACAAATTACTTATTAGTTACAAAGGTTTCTGATGGATCAAACTTAACATCACTGACTTCATATGACTCTTGATCCACAGGCACAGAAAGGAACATACATCCCATA